TTACAAACAATTTAATAATAAGTTAATAGTTTAATAAGTACGTACGTAATATTATCACATGGTAACAGCACGTATTATGGCAAAAATAAACATCGGCTGATTTGAAAAGATTTATTATAGTAATAATAGTAATCTCAGGACAATTCACACAGCTTCATCTAGACCCAAGTTAAGCTAGCTGAAGATTATGTTATGGGTACTGATATAAATACAAAGATTTTTTTTCGTAAATACATATATATTATCTATACATAGAAAACACCCAGACCGTTACAAACAATCATACTCATGAATACAAATGTTTGCAGCGTGCGAGGAATCGAACCCTCGACCACCAAGCAGGAATCAAAGCAGTGTGCTAGCTAAATCGCTAGACTACCGACAACTAGCTGTACACGCGACTTCGTCCGCGTGGAATTTAACTTCTTATATTTTAGAAAAATAAAGTTAAATTTAACACGGACGAAATCCCGTGTACAGCTAGTCATCAATAAAAAAACACGTAGGTATCTCTAATATATTATACACTAGCTGTTCCCGCGACTTCGTCCACGTGGTTTTTAACTTTATTTTTCTAAAATAAAAGTAGCCTAAGTTACTCCTTATTACATCAGCTACCTGCCAAAAAAAGTCCCGTCAAAATCGGTCCAGCCATTTCAGAGATTAGCCGGAACAAACAGACAGACAGACAAAAATTGTAAAATATTTTATTTTGGTGTATGTACCGTATTTATATTCATATGCAAGTAGTAAAAAACGGTTATTTCAATATTACAAACAACAGGCTTCAACATTCTCAAGTACCACAAAAAAGATGTTTTTATTAAAAACAAGGTGTTCCCGCGACTTCGTCCGCGTGGAATTAACTTTATTTTTCTAAAATAAAAGTAGCCTAAGTTACTCCTTATAAATCAGCTACCTGCCAAAAAAAGTACCGTCAAAATCGGTCCAGCCATTTCAGAGATTAGCCGGAACAAACAGACCGACAGACAGACAGACAAAAATTATAAAAATTGTTATTTTGGTATATGTACCTTATATATATTCATATGCATGTAGTAAAAAACGGTTTTTTCTATATTACAAACAGACACTCCAATTTTTATTAAATGTATAGATGTATAGATTATTATTTATTTATTTATTTATTCATCCAAAATAATACAAATTGTGTAGGATAACGTAATAGTAACATTACAGTAAAATTTTGTCAACAACATAATAGCAACTTAAACATTAAATCTCGATATATCTATAGACTAGCTGGCCCCAGCGACTTCGTCCGCGTGAAATTTTATTTTATTTTTCTAAAATAACAGTAGCGTAAGTTACTCCTTATTACATCAGCTACTTGCCAAAAAAAGTCCCGTCAAAATCGGTCCAGCTATTTCAGAGATTAGCCGGAACAAACAAACAGACAGACAGACAAAACTTGTAAAATATGTTATTTTGGTGTATGTACCGTATTTATATTCATATGCAAGTAGTAAAAAACGGTTATTTCAATATTACAAACAGACACTCCAATTTTATTTACATGTATAGATGTATAGATTAAAAAAAAGTAACAGTCATAAGGCTAGTCGTATGCCTAATATATATAATAATGTAATAAATTCATTTAAACAGAAATTGCGGGAACATTATTTAAATTTGTAACTTTTTTACTGTCCTTCTCCTTTTTTCACATCTTTCTGTTATATCCATATAGTTCTCTCTATATTTTCTGATTTTCTTACTTTCAATTTGAGACTGTACTTATAATTATATATAATATTTATACATTTATGGGTTATATTTAGATATATATTTATGTATGTATATTGTTATTTTTTTATAGAAATGTATATTTTGCTTATCTTTATTATCTTTATAAATCTTTTTTTGACATTTCTTATTTATATTAGTGCACCGCCAATAATCTTTCGCTGCACCACTCATGGTTGCCTGGTAAATAACGCGGCAAAATATTAAGTCCGCCACATGTACAAATTTTTTTGTGCATTAAAGTTAAAGAAATAAAAAAATACAATACTGTTTAATGAAAATGCGTGTTGTCTAGTGCTTTGAGATGTATCAAAATAAGGTCAACAAAAAAGTCCGTGATGGTATATGTCTATCTCTTAAGGATAACCAACAATAACCATTTTTTATCTTTTACATTTTACGGGATTTTTTTTTATCGTATGTTTCCCTTAAAATCATGTAAACTATGTTATTATGTCATAATCTAAAGAAATAATAATATTTTATAGTGACATATCCACTATAAAATACCAAAAAGTAGCAATGTAATTCGTTACGCGCGAATCAGGTGTTATAAGGTCAAAGGTCGGTGCACCCCGCGTATTTGATAAATAGTGCTTCTCTGGATGTCTTTAAGAGAAAATGGCAGTATGTACGTGTATATGTACAAGTCCTTAAGTGTTAAGTTTTTCAAATGTACATACAGTAAAGAATAAATATTTTTAAGTACAGTACTTACGTACATTAATATAATACCTACTTTTTACTTGTATCTATTGTTATCAAAATTAAATTATAAGTTCTTAACTTGACCACGACTATGTGACCCTCTCTTGGCGCCAAAACGAGTGAAAAAATGAACAGCATACGACGACGACGCAGTACCTATAGAGTGTAGCAACTGCTTATTCAGTTTTATTCAACTATTTAGTCCCTCCACCGTTACAATGAATGGAGGCGGATATTACAATGTACGTAGCATTGCGAATATAAAATATCTAGATTAGGTATAATAAATTCATAATTCATAGGCCGTTACGGTATCAGAGCCAAAAAGTCTTCTTTCTTTGTTTATGTACTGTTAGATGCGACAGCGACTTTGTTTTTATATTACTATGTAATGATTGATATACCTAAAATAAATAAAATATCTGAGGTTTGGACAAAAATTCAAAAGGTACTTTATTTTGAAAAAGTATTTTGAAAATACCTATTTTGCATTTAGTATTTGAAATACAAAAACAAAACTATTATTGTTTTTAGAATGACATTTCTATGAATTCACTGTCGATAGCGAGCGGTGGGATGGAAAAAGATAACCGTTTATAAATATATAATAAATAGCCCTGGACAATTAACACAGACTGATACTGAACTGATATAGATATTTTTATTTTGTAAATACATATATAATATACATATAAAACACCCAGACCGATGAAAACAATCGATGACCGATGAGTACAATTGTTTGCACCGTGCGAGAAATCGAACCCGCGACCATCGGATGTAAAGCGGTGTGACCACCGAGGCAGTCGAAATATATAAATAATCTTATGAATTTAATTTATTCTAATTTGTTTGTGTGCGCGGGGTGCGGTGTACGGTGCTCCCCCTTGCCTCCACCGTTGCTGGAGCTTGCATGTATGGAGCATTGCGAATATAAAATATCTAGATTAGTAAATTCATAATTGATAGACCGTTACGGTTTCTATATATATTCGGATTAAAATAAGTATCGCAGTAAGGACCAGTATATAAAGTGATCAACATAATTAATTGATTTTTGAAATATATATACAGAGCCAAAAAGTCTTTGTGTATTCAAAAAATATCTAATTTGTTTGTGTGCGCGGGGTGCGGTGTACGGTGCAGGGGGGACCCTGCCTCCACCGTTGCTGGAGCTTGCATGTATGGAGCATTGCGAATATAAAATATCTACATTAGTAAATTAATAAATTCATAATTGATAGACCGTTACGGTATCTATATATATTCGGATGTAAATAAGTATCGCAGTAAGGACGAGTATATAAAGTGATCAACATAATTAATTGATTTTTGGAATATATTCAGAGCCAAAAAGTCTTTGTGTATACCAAAAATTTAGCCGTTCGGAGCCATTCAGTCACGAATTATTAGTAAAAAAAGTGTCGAGTATATCGTACTATCGACGAATATATATGGCCACATCGCAAAATAGAATGCGACGTTGCCATACCGCCTGAGATATACGCGATAGAGGTCAAGTTATTCAGTGCAAAAGGTGGAATCAGCAAGTGTGTAGGTTGTGGCGTGATCAACAAAGTGCCCAAAGAGGTGTTTATATATATATATATGTATATATATTTTAATCTGTTAATTTCAAAAACTATACTTTTTATCTACTTACTAAATATTCAGGTCTTTTTAGTTACAGTGAAATTTATCAAATAGATAAATTGTTTCTTTTTATATTAAAAAAAATAAACTAGACAAATTCGCGGGTAACACCTAGTATTGTACATAACCAAGTGTAGAAATAAATAAATTAACGTCTAAGATAAATTAATCTCCAGTGCCAATATACAATGGTCTAACTTTATACGTATACCGAAGCGAACAAAAAGATAGCTGATAGCTGGGAATGCCCCATTTATTTGACCCGTTTAGTCGAAACGGGGGCCGAGTGTTTAGGAAGATTTGTTGTTATGTTGTTTGTATCTCGATTCTTTTATGTTACCTTCGCGTTTTGTTTTTTGTCCCTAGATGTTTGGGACACGTCGTTGTGGGTAATACAAAGAGCGAGACTACTACTATACTTAGTTATATTATACTGAATTGGTAGGGACAATTTGTATGACATTATACAAGTAAAAGTAAGATAACAAAGAAGATAAATAAGATGATATTCTTAAATTTTTTTAATCCAACTTTATTTCAAATATAATTAGTCTAAGTAAATAATAAACAATAAGATCAAAGAATTAAATTTTATTTACCAACAACTAACTAAAATATTAGCTGGATTCATTTTACTGTGTTTAAAACGAAGTCATCATTTGCTTAGTTGTACCACAGATAGCATAATATTACATAGTTGTACTAATAATTTAAAGAAGGAAGTTAAGCTACGGCTAAATAAGAATAGTACCAAAAAATATAAGTGTATCGCAATTTAAAAATATACAACATATACATTATAGAGAAGAATATATAAGAAAGAGGAATATACAAGAAGAATAATCGAAGCATTTATTCAGGAAAAATAAAACACGGTCCCGATCGCACTTTTTTAACCTCGCGTGTCCTATTTGTATAGAATTTGTTGACGCAGTTTAAACGGCATTCATTTGTGTAAGTCTTGTTGTCATCACCGCATATAGGGAAATAGACTCTCGGACATGTTGAGCAATTCTTGATTACTGGTATTTTATCCAGTGAGATTATATCCACTGAAAACGGATTGACAAATTCTCTAAAATATTCTCGAGATGGCTGTTCGTCAGAATATTTGGGTATACGATTCAATCTATAAGGTGATACAAGATTGAAAACAATAACTGAAACAATTGAATAATATATTAATAATGTAACTGTAAACCGGGAATACGTATGCTTTTTTTACATTAAAGATAGCTTATGTGGTTCTCGTGATGTGATATATCTACTATCTTCACATTAAAATTCATTTATATCTTTTCACGAAAAGGTAATAAATAGATAGATCACTTTTGCATTTATAGGTATCCCAGGCCTCCATAAGTTACAGTAACTATTTACCATCAGATGGGCCGTATGCTTGTTTGCCATCATATTAGTATAAAAAAAATATTAGTATAGATTATATATTTCTAAGAAAAAAAATGGATGTAGTATCCATTTTTTATTCTTCAAATATAATATGTCAGGTGACCCACCACGTGAGCTCGCCTTTACAAGCGAGCGATCTTTATGATCCATTCCTGGCGGAAAGTTATCGGTAAAATATTAATTAAAACAATCTTATTATAATTTCAGTAAAGCTCAAATTTCAGCTGCTCTAGTGGACTATTACTTCAATTTGCAAATTCGTTCAGCTCTATTAGCGACTGCATGGTTTCCTACTTAAACAGTTACGATAGCCTCACATTTTCCGAATAATCGGATGGCATCGTTCGATGACGCTGTTTGATTGGTAGATTTGTTGCTACGCCCTGCCATTTTTGGAAATGCGCCAATCGAAACGCGTCGTGGACATGCTTCGTCCGGACTAAACAAAATAATATGTGAGTCTAGTATAAAAGCAACGTCAGACTAAACAGCTCTTTCCGTGGATCACTGAGCCGGTTTATTACTAAAAATGTGGACACTGACCATAAGACTAGTCTACGAAACCAGTTGTATCATAAGTAATTTAGTGGAATATTACGTGTCCAAGTATCGGCACCATATTTAAGAGCATTCATTACAAAAGTCCCGAATTTTCAATTAGTTTTTGTAAAAATCCTGAAGGATGGTAGATTAGAAGAAATATAAATTAAGAGAGCTTAAATTACATATGTTTATTTGATTAGATATCATTTCTATTTTATTTTACTCAACCATAATACTAGTATGAATGCGAAAGCCTCTCATCACTTTGCGACTAAACGGATTTCAAAGAAAGACGTCTCAAAAAGTAGTCAAAGGCATGGTTAATAGCTAATGTAAAAAAATCAGAATGATTACGTAAAAAGCACAATATATATTCAAATAATACTACCGGGAGAAACCGGGTTGGGCGACTAGTTAGGTAAAAGATACTATTATAATGCATTGCTTAGCGTAAGAATATGTAGACATAACTAAAATAAATAGTAACCCCAGTCATTATCTCTGTATCTATCAAGACAAAATATAAATACTACTAAATAATAAAACGGGATAAATGAAAACATTTATCCTGTTTTATTTTTGAGTTTTTCCATTAATTCCTAGGTTCAGGTATATATATAATTCGATTAGGTTTCGTGTAAATTAATTGAAATACCCGCGGAAAGCCGGAGGGAATCGCTAGTCTCTACTAGAATGAAAACTCACCTGTAGTAAGTATTACAATAAACACACATGAGAGTAGAATTTGCATTTTAAAGTATGAAAAGATATCGACCCTTTTTCAATTGTGAAGTACAAAAATCATTTACAAAATGGCTTTTCGTTGATCACGTGACGTTTAATTAATATCACGTGACTAAAGTTATCAGGCTTTTATGACATAATGGTCCATTACAATTCATTAAGTTAAATTAAGTTGTAAAACTCATTTCGGTGTTTCTTTTGCTACTTAATTTCAATACTAATTCATTCCGCACGAAACAGCTATAAAAGTGCCAAAATAAATTCATTTATAAGAACAATTCTTATTATCAAATATGTATTTTAGAATTTAATCTAAACTGCTGTATTTAATTGTAAAATATTCAATAAATTATAGAATAGGAAAGGAGAAGAGTAGTTAATACACAAATTTTGGAATTGGTTTCCATATCTTTACATAGAATAAAACGAAATTGCTTCCGTTGTTTGTTCGCTTAGTCTTTTAAACCACGCAACGGATTTTAATGCAGTTTTTAGCAATAGATAGTGTGATACAAGAGGACGGTTTATATGTATAATACATGTACAATAATGTACATGAGAAGCCGAGGCGGGTAGCCAGTATATATATATAAATGGTAACAATATAGGTGAACCTCCAGCTGTTTCTATGGAAAGTATCGTAGTTAATTCCTGGTGAATTCCGAGATAAATCACAATAGTGTAAACATTCGTAAGTGACAGAAGATGTCCTAAACCAATTACTGATTGTATTATGATTTTAATAGGTAAATTAACTAGATTTATCCTCTTCCTCTCATCCTCCACTGGTAAGAGGCCAGCGTATTATAACTTTTAGTGCACGATGCACCAGTTCATTATCATCCGTTAAAAAATATACCGCGCAGATGGCGTGTGTAAATCTTTTGTAAATTTGAGGAGATAAGAAATGACTTTTCGTAATTCAGCCCTGAAGAACGTATAGCGGTGGTGCAAAATTTCTAGCGGGAAATATTTTTTTTTATAAGATGCGCCTGCGACTCTCCTTTTGGTAAGTGATTACCGTTGCCTATGAGTACCCGCAACACCAGGGGAATTGCAAGTACGTCAGTCTTTTAAGAAGGAGGAAAGGAGTTAGCTTTTGAAAGTTTCAGTTATCATATTGGTTCGGAAATACCATTGCTGGAAGGTGCTTCCACAATGTGGTTGTTCGTTGCCAAAAGTTTTTAGAAACACGGTGGGGGTCTGTCCTTCATCCAAAGGATCAGCATGGTATTTTATTTCTGGCTGGTAGTACGATGATGAGATTACATTAAATAAACCAACTCCTTAGGAGGGGTAAGGTGTGGGTGTAAATTGGGGTAATTTAAAGGTAGTGAAGCCGTGAACAAACGCTGGTAAATTATATATGAGTAATTCAGAAGTGTACCAATTTCATATACATATAATATTAACAGAACGCGTAACAATGATAATTATATTGCAAATTAGAAACCAACACAGTTTGATTATAGGGAAAACAATTCGTGAATTGTTGAGAGCAGTATAAATGTTTATGTACTACCGGTAGTTTAACCAAATTTACTACGAGTATAATCAATTTACTTTGTGTATGAATCAAGAATTAATTGAATATGTCTACATATTTAGTTACCTTTATGATCTTTGTGTACTGAAATACACTTTATCATAATCAATATTTTGAGAAAAACCGAAGTTGTTATCAAAATATTGATCTATAAGCTCCACTAGCTTCACGATTGTTATTACAGATGCTGTATGTATGACATCATGGTGGATAAAATATGTGGGTATAGGGGGAAGGCGATGGTGCATTTCATTTCATCCTCACATTATCACCCTCTTTAGGTAGCCTCCTAGAGTAAAGGTACTAGAGTATATATATAGTGCAGCTGATGCACAATTTAATATTATTTTTAAAAAATAATTAATTTAAAAAATATGTGGTTAAATTTTAAGCCAATGTGGCATAGGGCAAACACACTTTAAGCATATGTAATGTGAATTTGCATTTGTATGTTTCTACTATCGAAAAGGCCGTTCTAATTATGAATTGACTGGTTTTTAAAAATAATAACCAAATTTAGACCCACAACTTCGCGTTGGTGTACCACTAAGCCCCGATGCTACCCAATTGTGTTTCTAAGTGGGTTAGGGGAGTTAGGGGAATTGAATCTAGAAAGTGACTTAAACTACTTTAAATGTCACTGAAACGTGACTTGGTATTTTAGTTCTTTTTTTCGAACTATTTTAAAGCTGTTACCGCAACTGAGTTCTACAGCTTCGGAAATAATCGAAAATGTGGCCGAGTGTAAAGAGCACTCCAAACCCGCCAAAGAACTTCTGCCTGACTCAATTTTAGTAAATCTGAGGGCACTACTAGGAGTTCAAACCTCGTCTCAGCCGTAATTTCGATCCCCATTTGAATGGAACAGGGGATCGAACACAATAAGGATTATGTATCTGTTCAATAAAATATTCATATCGTGTTTTAAGTTACAGCTCTATTGTAATAAAGTTACACGTGTAAGGTTGAACACGTTCGTTAAATTATGTAATGACATAATAAAAGATGCAAGGGCCATGTGTTTAAAAGCATAAGCATACCAAATCCAACTAATATTGTAAACATAAAAGTTTGCAAAGCTGTTAAATATTTATATGTATAATATTCAATAGCTTTAACCGATAAATGGATCTGAATGAATCACATTGAAATCTATATAATAATATGATACAGTGGTATTCTGTTATAAGGAAAAAACTCCGGAACCATTTTAAGAAATACTACTTTTACTGCTTAAATTGTAAATTATTCCAGTGACATTAGGCTATATGGTGTATTACGGTCTCAGTGATCAAGCGGTTTAGCACATAAGGTGCCTTACTTCCGATGGTCGCGTGTTCGATTCCTCGCACAGTATTGACATTGTATCCATGATGTGATTGTTTGTATCGGCCTGGGTCTTTTCAATGTTTATTACGATTTATATATAACAAACTGTATGTAAGTATTTATATAAATTGTCTTGTACCCATAACGTAAGCCCTGTTTAGCCTGGCCGCTGTGTAAATTGTCCAGGGTTATTATTACTATTATTAATATATTAATACAAATTGTAATGAGGAAGAGTATTATTTATTAATTAGGTTTTGTAAGTTTAGTTTCGAGTTTAGAGTTAAGAGGAATGATCCAAACTAAAATGACTGAATGACTGAACGTCTTGTTACACATATAGAGACACTTCTGTCTCTATAGCCATATTTATGTCATAAATAGATGCGTTTGTCTGTCTGCTTGATATGTTTAAACGGTTGAACGGATCTTAATTAGAAACAAGGATAAATTTCTACTACAAAGGTTATCTTTTATGTAAAAAGCAAACAAAGTCACAGCAAACAGCATGTTTGAAATATAACTGGCATATAAAATCATAGATCTGCACGATTACACACAATGTGTTAGTAATTTCATATGAAACTAGAAACAGGGCAATAATTCTTTTGTATCGTAAAAATTTCATACTTGAGAGGCCGGTACACTGAAAATAGTAACATATTACATTAATGTACAAGCTCGGAGGTTGTGAAACGTGTGTGGATAAATAAAACATTCGACTTAACGTCCAGCTTGCGAAATGTGGACATACTCGTATGCGATATTTATATGTAGGCTAAGAAGAACGTGACTAACTATTTTCTTTTTAGTTTTTAAGAAAGGGGTTTTACTTGAATATTGGAATATGTACATAGATCGTTGCTCGCGTGTATTAGGATAATAGAATAGAAAATCATTTATTCAAATAAACTTATATTAAAGCACTTTTGAATTGTCATCTCAGTTTTTTTTTCAATCTACCGCTCATTCAGAACGCTGTCTCATCAGATGAAGAACGAACAAGAATCTTGCGCGTTACTCTTTTAAATAATTTAGTTATTACTTTACATTTTTAAGTTGAAACGTGTGAATACAAACTAGCAACTAGCACTAAATCAATAGAGTTAAATACTCAAATAGAGAAATTATTAAAGATACAACCAACTGGTTGAGTAACTAAATAACATTAAATCAGTCATAGTGATTAGAGCAGAGTCCCTATAAGCAGCACTCGTTCAAGAGTATG